AAGGCCAGCGACTCGTCTCAAAAAGCCTATTTCAGCCGCTTTCACATAGCTTCGAAGTTTTTGCATGATGGTCCATGACTCATGGCCGTAGGTAAGCATGGGGATAAAGGTCGACTTGAACACCGAGAGGATAGTTTTCAGACTGAGCTCTGCTTTAGTCACAATAGGTCGGGCTAGTTCAAGCAGAACGCCATTGACTGCTCCAATTTGCCGATCGATCTTTTCCTCCAACCTTCCATCACCAGTAAATACAGTTCCGGGGTACTTGAACTTCTCTACCTGCTTCACTTCCTCTCTGTTAATCCGAAGAGAACAACGGGTAGGAGAACCGGAAAAGAATAGACTTCGTCTTAGATGCTTCCACCGCATGTCGCCTCGGCTGCAGGCCTTTCCAGGGAGCATTGTTGATCGGTTTTAGAAGATGCCAATAAAATGAGGTCGTCTGCAAAAAGAAGCCTTCTCGTCTCCAGGTATCCTACATCGATACGCTCAACGCCTTGGCTATTCTTGACTATTCTGTCTATGTACAACGCAAACAGGAGAGTGGCAAGACGCAGTCTTGGTGAAGACCAGTGCCAACGTTAAAGGCTTTGACTTAACGCCATTTACTCTGACGTAGCACCTGACATCAGAGTACAGTGATTTGATGACCCGTGGCGGCTGGCCACCTATACGGGGTGCTTGCAGTATGACCACAGACTATTGCGCGGGATCCGGTCATAGGCCGTTTTTAGATCAACAAAGAACATGTACACCAGATAGGCGAACTCGCACGATTTCTTCTGGCGCATGGCAGATACCTGGTTTAGAGGTGCCTCGACCTGACAGGATGCTGCATTGCTTTTGTATTTTTGAGTCTGTTATTCTGCAGTACCTCTTTTCTAGCGGAACACGAACTTTTGTTCCCCAGTCTGCTGGTGTCTTCCCCCGTAGTCGTTGCACTCTGTTAGACACGTGTAAGCCAGCACATGCCTTGTTTGCCATATGCCTTGAGCATTTTATGGCGGATTTCATCAATTCCAGCAGCTTCTCCGTTTATCAAGCTTTTCACAGCTTGTATAATTTCATCCTCAGAGGTAGTAATATCCGTACCTTCTGCTCTACAGGCGAGTTTTTTTGAGATTGCGCGGGGTTAAGGAGTTCCTTAAAGTAGCGTCTCCATCGCCGAAGAATGTCATCATCCTTGGTAAGAGTGTCCAGTTCTCTGCTTCAAGACTCTGAGGCTGCCCTTCTTTTCGCGTCGGAGCCGGCGGATGGCCTGCCAGAATATCTTGTTTGCCGTGTGGAAATTCGACCCCAACACCTCCGAGGAATCAACTTTGGCTTTCGTCACTCCTTTCCCTGCCTCAGTAGATGCTTCTGCATTTCATACAGCAGTAGAAGACTGTTTGTATTCTAGCCATTTTTTGAATGCAGCCTTCCCTTTAACTGCCAGCTGTACTTCTCGTATCTACCGGGAAGTTCTGTTCTCAGAATCAACCTCCGGCAGGCCAATCCGTTTAAATCCACAGCATTCGGCGGGGCAGCCTCGAGTATCGCCCTCTTGAAGGGCTGCCATTCGGTTTCCATATCAGTTGACATCACTGGGATTTGTTTCAAACCATCGTGCGATGTTGTTTGCAAATTTCGCTCTCGTGTCCACCGAAGACAATGTTTCCCATTTAATTCTCCGGTTGTTTCTGCCACCAGATCTTCGTATGGTACGCCATTTCTTACAGCGCAGCGGCCTACAGCAAGATGGCTATCAGGTGATAGCTCTGCGCCTCTCTTAACGCGAACATCCATTACTGAGCTTCTTAAATCAGACGATACGATTATCAAATCGATCATGGACTTCTGTGCACAAGCTTCCCGGTACCAGGTGTAATGATGCTCGAAGAAGGTGTTCATAATAGATAATCCGTTGAGTCC